TTCATCTGCTATATTAGCATCAACCATTACTATCAATTTTTTTTTACATCTTAATTCACAAATTTATCATAATATCTGAATATCTTATTGTATTTCTTGTTCTTCAATTCAATCTTCTAATAAAACTATATCTTCTTCACCAGTTCTATTTCTTTCTACTTCTCAGTCTTCTCAACTTCTACCACTTACTACAGCTAGTGCTAAAATAGTATTATGGTATCCTTATAGATTAAATATCAAACAAATTTAAACTATATAATTACTAATTTACAAATCTAGGTGAGCAATAGCTACCTTAGTTAGTTTAGACTGCAGATAAATTAGTCTAAGTTTTTTTTCTTACTATCTTAGAATATAAAATTTAAATAGATTCTTTTCTTTATAAGAATTTTTTTTTCATTGTAGAAGAATTAAAATAAATTTTAATAAAGTCAAAAACATGATCTCATCATTAATATTTAAAAAAAAATAAAAATAAAAAATAAAAATTAAAAGTATTTTAAAAATATAAAATTTATATACTTATTTAATATTACTATTTAGTAAATACAAGCTCACAATTGTTACAACTTTGTGATGTTATTATAATTGTATAATTTTGAAAAATTAAAAAATAGATACCTACTTGGCAAGATCTAAGTAGAAGATAATACAAACTTTTAATAGTAACTACTAAAATAAGCTTTATTTAAAACTAATATAACTAGATAAGACAAAAGTACCAGCAAGTTGCTCTACTAACTAGGCTACTAGAGTATTAATTAAAAAAAGATTTGTAAATATCAAGAGATTAGTATCACTTTGGGCTATCTAAATTGGTAGTCTAAATAGACTAGCTAAAGATATTAAAAAAAAATACCAGGTTATCTTGAAGCAAGGATATTAGAATTTGAGTAAACTTTGCAAGAATTAAGTAGATAATAATAGCAGCTATATTACAAGTACTTGTTCTTGAACTTGATATAAATTATCAAAAAACTATAATTGTCTTTAGATTATATATATAATATAGATTTAAATTTAATATATCTTATACTATTCTATACCTATCCTATATCAAATTGGTATAATAATATATAGAATATTATAGATGATAGTGAAATCAGATTATTGTGAATCTAGAGCCTTTAATTTAAAAATATAAGCCCTCACAACTCTAACAAAACCTACTTATACTCTTTTATTATAAACTCTAATCCTAAATACTAGTTTAGATTCAAAAAAGCCTGAAAAAATATACCTCAAAAAATTTTAAAAATTAAAATTTTATGATAATCTGAATTTTACGATCATTTGCGATATAGAATATCTTATACATGATTGCATACTAACTGCATATATCCTACATATATACTATATATATTTTATAAATTTGAGTATTTGTATAAAATATATATACAATATATATATTATATATAAGATATTTTATATCATCTTTACATATCTGCTATCTAATTTGTATAGCTTAAATATAGAATATATCAAATTTTAACTTGTGTAAAGTAAAATATAGATAGTTTTAACAATATTGTTTTGAAGATAAATTAATTTTAAAGTAATTAGATTTAGAAAATTAGATTAAAAAAGCAGTAAAGTTAGATCAAAGAGTTTAAATAGAAATATATAGACAAATCTTAGATATGGTATGTGGTGAATAACTATATCTAGCAATAGATATAGCAGAGTCCTTAAATAGACAATTACCAAAATTGTATATATAGCCTAATATAGTAATAGAAATTAAATATGTCTAATTAAATTTTTATAAAACTAATCAAATTGTTCAAAATTATCTAAAATTGTTCAAAATTATTTTAAAATTATTTTTATATTAGAACTAATTTGTTTATTATATTTCTCTTATCTATATTGTTAATAAAAATTGTAGTAAAGATTAATACAATTATAACAATAGTAAAATTACAAATTTTTATTTAGTAAATCACTAGATAAATTTTGCAATTTTTAAAAATTTTAAAATTATTTAAAAAATTTTAAAAATTATAAATTTTACCTTATCTTTTTGTAATTTACTAAACCAATTTGTAATTTTATTATCATTCAATTATAAACTTATTTCTATAACTTTTATTAAAGTACAAATAAAGTTAATATAAAAAATAGTTCTAATTTAAAATCTTATTAAATTTTTTTATTAATTTATTTGTAATTCTATTAGCTAATTTAAAATAGGTAATTATATAATGCAAAAATTAAAATTTTTTATTTATTGATCTTTATTCTAATTTGTATTATATATTACTTATTAATAACTAAAATATTTTTATTTGATTGACTAGTAAAAAAATATATATATATACTGTATATATATTTGTCCCAAACTAATTAAATTTAGTTTGGTTTCAGACAAAGTTTTGGACATAATATCCAAAAACCAAAACTATCCAATTTCCCAACACTGGCATAATGTATTCTCATCAAATGTAACTGTCTAGATGTAATACTCCTTCAACTAATAAACTCCACATAAAACCTGAGAGGTACAAAAACATTGTTTTTTGATCCACTTAACCCATTTTTATTAACCTACCATAAAAAAACAAAGTAATATAGCAATTTTGTTAGATAGTATTTAAACAAAATTTTACTTTATATCGTTTTTGACTTGTGATATTACTTGATTACATGGTGATCATGATTACGATTGACTTTAGGATGATTGCATAATTAATCTGTAATAAAATCAAAAGTATAATAAAGTGAATGTGAAATGAAAATGATGTAATGATTAATACAGGTGACCCTGTAAATATCAACCTAAGCCACAAGGCAAATTTTTATAAATTTTTATATATCAAAATTTCCTCATATATATCAACTTTAATATGATTTCTCATTAATATCAATTCAAATAGGTTGATATTAACGAGGGTAACCTGTATTGTAAAAGGCAAAATAACAAAGTGAGTCTTTTACTCTTAAAAACAAATAACGAAATATGTATAATAAAACAGTTACACGGAGATCCATACAATTGTTAAATCACGACATTAAATACATACAGTATTATAGCAAAAATGTTTCTAAGCTAAGCTATAATAAGAACAGTTATTATCCGATCTAGTGTAATAAAATATAGAAATACATTTAAAAAGTGTATTAATTCTTCATGCAAGATGGCTTCCCTTTCTCTTCGTATCGGTAATAAGGTAATTTATATTTGCTTCCTATATCACAAAACATCCATTACAAGTTCAAAGCCGAGAATGAGTTAATGAAGCAGTAAAATAGGGAATTTTGATGGTTGAACGCGATATACTAGAATACTATATAATTTTCTTTATCGAATTCGAGATATGCAATTATTTGTGTGTAAGATTACATGAGTTAAAAGCGATGCACCGCAATTTTTTTTTTTTTTGGGTGGGTAAATAAAAATGTGTCAAGTGGTCAAAAACGATGTTTTTGCATCTAAACAATAAAAATAAAAAAAAATACATATGTACTACTACTTAGGTTCAGAAAATTTTGGGTAGAATATTGGTTCCTTATTATTATTTATATAAGATTTATTTCAACCTTTTAATTAAGTGTTTTTTTTATTAAATCCTCTTTTAGTTTTATATTTCAACTTCTTTCAATCAGTTTATCTAATTATCGGTTTGATTAGTTCAAATTGTATAAAGACTGGCTGACTATTGCGTGAATTTTTAATTTAATTTCTGATTCAAATTATTGGTTTAATGTTTAGTTCAGTATTTAGTTCAGCTTTTGGCTCCACTTTTGACTCAGCATTTGGTTCGACATTTGGCTCAATATTTGGCCCAGCTTTAGGTTCTATTTTCGGGTTAACAATTGTTTCAACATTTGGTTTAATGTTTGGTTCAATATTTTGTTCAATGCTTGGCGTAGTTTTTAGCCCCATTTTTATAGGTTTTTGTTGGTCATAATTAAAAGTTTGCATAGAGCTAATTGAATAGCCCTTTTTGTAAAATGGAAGTATCTTTTCTTCATAATATTCATTCCAAGAATAGTATTTTGGATTATTATCAATCCGTATATGCAAATAATGAACACCTAAACCATTCGTGGATAACCATATAGGAGTACCGATGTCCAAACTTTCAGTCAATTTAGTAGCTACTTCTTGCCAAAACTTGATCTGTTGTTTTTTTGGAGCATTCTTAGTAAAATTACTAAGATTTTTATAATCAAGATCGTGGCAAGGCATAGGAACAATTAAAGTCGCATCTTTTCCTAGATTAATAAAACTACAAACATCTTTGTTTTGACATTCAGTAATTTTGTTTTTGAAGCTTGAGTAATCCTGTTCAATATAACTTAATGTAGCAGATTTAGTTACTACAAATTCAAACGGTTTAATTGTTGTTTCTTTAGATACGGGGGGGCATTCCCAAAAATATGCGGATAGTTTATCCGTTGCTTCATTCAAAGCTTTTGTGAATATGTCTAAAAATTTTTCATCACCTAAATGTAAAAGTTTTATAAATTCAATATAGCTCAATTTATTGTCATATGCATTTAAAAAGTTATATTTAACTGTATTTCTATCAATAGGTGTAAATTTATATTTAAAAATTGTCGGTTCATCCATGATTACATTAATAAAGTTGCACGTATGTACGTACGTATGTACGTGTGTAGGTACGTAGTCGTTAGTTATATACCTAGTACAGTATTACAGCTATGCTATATATAGGAAACAACGTAATTCCAAATTGGTAAAAATTTCCAATTTACCTCTCTCCCCTGAGCACTAAACGTATTTCAAAATGACAGAGATTTCCGTTTATTTAAGACAAATTCCACCCCGACTTTTCAACAGACGGAAAATTTCCGTCATTTATAATAATGACTTCGTTTAGGGAAAACACTTTCGGAAAAAATTCACATTACATTACCAGGAAAACACTTTCGGAAAAACTTCACATTACATCACCAGGAAATTTGGTTCACTGTCTCCCACTCAATTCACAGATAGACATTCGTATGATTGGTTGATGTAAGTCAAATGCCCGGGCAATTTATTTATGCATCTTAAAGTAAGCAAGGTGTGGTAGCTCTCCCACAACAAATTTCCCACCTCGTGGTTTTTATCCATTGAGTCAAGCTAGGGGGATTTTTGGCTAATGTTTTGTGGGAGATCTATAGAGCACAGGTGGACCTGTAATACAAGTTACGTAATGATTTATAATTGCAACCTTAAGAAAACTGTAGTTTGTATAATACAAGTTACGTAATGATTTATAATTGCAACCTTAAGAAAACTGTAGTTTGTATAATACAAGTTACGTAATGAT